GGAATTGAAAAATTAAGTTTTACAAATTCAGAGGTCGTATTATTTGAATTCCTACGAACAGGGAAACTGAAAATATATCCGTGAATACCTGATAAGATATGGTATGATAGCCTGGGGCTGTGGGAAGATAACATGTGCATCTACACCTGTTTTCAATGACCCTACTAATATTCTGCTAGGTTTGTGAGGATAAACGACTGAGAAAAAAGCGCACAAAACAGATAATTGTTGAAAAAAAATCGCCTCTTAAAAATATTTGTTTGAAATGGCTGTCTCAAGTCAAAACCTAAACCACTTTAGAAAACACTTACAATTATGTGATGACAGATAGATTACCCATCGAGTAATGTTGAAATTTGTCACCAGTAATGTTGTCAACGCGATGTCAAGAACGTAATGCTTCGTAACCGGAAATAGAAATCAAGACACGACAAAGCAACAAGGAAGATTTGAAGTTCTACGAAACGAGAACACTTACCGACCCCCTTACCTAATAGCTGAAGGCAAAAATAACTAAAAAGGAAGCACGGAAAGTACTTCCGACAATATCCTTAACCAACACAGTGACCTTCCGCCGTCACCTGACATACAAGCGAGCTTCTTACGAGTACAGCCGTGAAGAGTATACATGCTCAAGTCACCTCTGTTCGTGTCTAAAATAAAGTTTATTTCGAAGATTTAATGAAAGTGTGAAGAAATTGATGTATTATTCGCAGAAAACAAATAAAGAAGCCTGGACTGTGCTCTGCTCTGTTGTGAAGCAAGAAGGAAGCGGCTAGGGCACCAAGGAGGTAGGAAAAAGCACCTGATTGCGTCTTGTGTTTCCCCAACACTTCCTTCCCACTCCACCCGCCTTTTTTATGTTTTACAGATTTCATTTGATTCGACTTTTCTTTTCGCCACCTAATTTCCTTGTAAGCAATTTTCCTCCTGGAGTGTGAATCTCAGTTAAAATTGTACAACTTGCTTCGGCGAAGATTGAATTTTGACCATTTTTAGCTTTAATCATCCGATATTTCTGTAACTGTTACTTCGGCCGTCAGTCTATCTGACTTTTACATTAACGCAATCGTGAAACCTAATCTTGCGTCTTTTGGTTTACTTAGCTCCAAGTTATCGTGCTCTGACCAACGTTTTTAATGTTAATTATCAACTGGTCATTTAAAGACACGTCACGGCTATTGAAAGGAAATGGCAAAGAGTCAAAGTTCTAACCTATCTCTTGAGTAATCAAGACCATACCATGAGGTAGCTCCAAGAAGCCTTTAATTCTTATATTTTCTTTGCTGGGAGAGAAACGGAATTTGAATTCATTGAACGACGTCCCTTGTGCGGTTTAAACGCGTGTATCCGCGCGATTCTGCGTGTAACGCTTAGAGGTAAAATATTCAACATGGCGACGTAAACATCGAGACATAATTATAAATGAACGATCGATGGAGTTTACTGCCTATTCGTACACCAAAAGAAGCCCAAAACCGGAAACCGAATCATCAATTGCATCTCAACACATCTTGTCCCTTCTTTGCTGGTGTGTCAATGAAAAAAAATCATACATAGCGGCCGGAAAACTCTGAAATGGGGACCAAATTTGACGTTCAGGTGAGCCATTATTTTAATGAATAAACCGGGTGAAAAGATGCTTTCACCACTATTTTTTTCAGTGTTACGCTCTCTGTTATTTTGTATTTCGATGTGAACTAGAAGTCTGGTAAAATTATGCGGATATTCTCCGAGAACAACTCGTCTAACAAAAATGTACACGTGTGCATTATTATCATCTCGATTTGGTAAATCTGCGAGGCGTTTCTCTCTTTTTTGAAAATCCAAAAATTTCTGCTGCCTGAGGATGAAACTCCTTTCTAGCCATTTAGATTGGCTTAGGGTACTTTGATTTTGAAATAGGGCTGTGCTCTTGCATAACCATTGTGCCTCTGCACCTAACTTTTGACCTAATGTGTACATATACATGTAGACCGGAAGTAACTGAGACAAGCCGGCAGACTCCTGCAATCATTTTTTGTTTGTTTGTTTTTTTGAGGTCCCGTGCTTTTGGAAAAACATCTGTCATCATGTCTGTGAGACAAGTGCACCCAATGATTTTTTTACCCTACCAAATTTTGCCAAGCCTTACTAATCTACAAATTGGCACCATTGTCCTGCCCCTCAGGTGTGAAATCTGACAGATTTTCAATTCACAAGTCACAACGTGAAGGAAAACCTAAATCAAGAAAATTTGATCTCATTTTCCCATGAGTCTTTCAGGCAGAAGGCTGCCAAAATATTGAATTTTTACAAGGCAAATAAATGGTGAAGACAGAAGATTTGTACCTTAGGATGCTGCATGACAATCAGTACTCGGGATACTTAGAATACAGCTATTATGGGTCTCAAGTTTATGTTTTACCTGAATCCCTGGGTCCAAATACTCATGTGATTCATATTTGGTGGTTAACAGATATTTTGCAGTGCACTTGAAAAATTTTGACAGGTTAAAAATTTGGCAGGTTTAGACAAATTTAGTTGAAATTTTTGGTGGAGCAAATTCAATTTTGTCAGCCTGGTGTGCCTGGGCCCTTATCATCCATTCAGAATTGTGAAAGGTGCTTAATGCTCTTTTATGTGAAGGATTTCAAAATAATGCTAATTGTTTACATGGTTTCCACTGTACATTATAATTATGTTGGTTAATGGTGTTCTGTATGTCTTTTAATTAGATCATAGGATTATCTAGTCACTATGTAGATTTCTCTGACTTAATTTTGATCACCTAAGCTAATTTTCAATCAGTCATTGAGAATTATTTTCTATTGCTGTACACAATTTTCCTGCTACTACATTTGTCAGGGAAAACCCTGTGTTTGAAAGGTTTGGCACCTCTCTTTTTCACCATTTACTATTCTAGTAGAGGTACTGTATGCGTCAGTTTGTTTACTGAGGATCAGACTGAATTGCCTTGGATCAGTCACATTGAAATGCTTGGTTGTAAATTGAACAAATAAACTGCTACAGGCTGAGTGTTTGGCTTATTCGAATAGTTTATAGGACTGTATGTCAAGTTATATTTGAATTTATAATTACCCTATCAAAATCTTTGTCCTTGAATTGGCCAAGTTTATTATTTTTTAGTGCAAATTTACTTGTTTATTGTTTCCCTTTTTAATGCATTTTCTGGTGCTTGCCAACCCCTTAGCAACCAAAAGTTTTCTTCCTTCTGTATCATCACACACAGCCATGTCTAATCATTCAACTGTTTAAACATCATGGACCATTAAACATGTGAAAAAAATTAGAAACTCTTAGGCTTCACTTGAACAGAAAAGGCCCTACCAAAATTGTGAAGATCCTAGCTAAAGAAAATGTGAAGATGTGGGGTTGGAGGGTGATCAAATTCTTGCAGAGATTTCAAGAGAGAGAACCAGACATCCACCTCTTGGCTTTACCATTGAGGTGCTGAATTTTTATGACACTAGAATGGAACACAACAATACATTGACTTAACTGAAGCTCACTAGAAGGACCCTTCTTTGATTAAGGGTTCATGCAGTTATCAGAGGAAAAGGTCAGATGTATTCAACATAAGCTTGGTTGGGTGCAATCAGGAACAAACTACTGCCAACTAATTCACAAGTTCAACAGAGTGAAGTGACTAGAGATCAACGAAAAGTGCCTATAGTAGAAAAAGCAGTTCAGTGACATTCTATTCACAGAAAAGTCTTCAGTTCTTTTCCACAACCCCAGCAAAGTAACATTTTATCAACAGTGGGAGTGGCCGAAGCTGAGAGGCTGACTTAAACATCCCATCAAAGTTTGTGTTTGGGGATAAATCTCAAACAGAGGACCAGCACAAATGGTAACATTTCAGCGAATCAATGATGCAAAGTTTCACATGTCCCAGATACCAAACAAAGAGCTCCTGCCATTCAGCTGGTTGACTTTTCAGACAGCCACTGCTTCCAGCAAGAAAATGACTCCAAGCATACAAGCTGCCTGTAGTCACCAACTTCGTGGCAAACACCTGAATAAATTAGTTGATGACTCCTCCAGAGATCATGGACCTTAATCTAATCTAAATACTGAGGCATAATTTAAAGAATTTCCTCCAGGTGGTGGTAAAATGGAGAATGAAAGAAGAACTATTCAATGGGGTCTCAAGATTTTGCAGTGAAACAGTTGATATGGAGAAGTCTGCAAAATGTTTTGGACACCTTCAGGGGGGTTCTACCGATCATTGCAGATCGTCAAGGGAAAGCTGGAGAATGTTAGTTCATTTTTATTCCTATAGCAAAACTGGCTCCTTTAGGAGCCACTACATTCACAAAAGTCATGACCTTGCTTATGTTTCATATCTCTCTCAAAGCCATAACATGTTAACTATTTTGCAAAATCGTCCCACTCAGACTAAAATTTCATTAATCAACAAAATTATCTGTTGTCACATTTAAAGACCTACCAGTGCATGTACTACTGTTGACACACATACAGGTAAACTATTGAGAGGAGTCACCACCCATCATTAAGAACTCCAGCAGAAAATCTAATGGAACTTAATGTTTGTTTTTTTCTATAGGTGGTATAAGAAGTACAATGTACATGTACAAAAGTAAAGTGAATTGACATCCATTTTATTTTAAATGGGTGGAACTTTGTTACTATTTCTCACCATTTTTCACTGCATTACCACAGTAGGGTAGGACTAGAGTGGAACATATGTGATCCATGCGAGTAGTCCACCCATTAAATCCCACCCATCCCACCCCAGAGGAGGACATCCATCACACAGTAATCTCGTGCGTGGAAAATTAACGTCTCCTACCCCTAACCCTAACCCTGTAGGAGAACGGGACCTCCATTAATTCGTCCCTATCCGAGAAGACTAGAATATCTAACCATTACTTGATGTTATAGAAAGGTAGCATATTCTTCTCAATTATTTTAAGACCCTGAGTGTTGGTCCGGCTGGGGCTTGAACCCTCGACCTCCTACACAACAGTCTAGTGCTCTATCCATTGAGCTAACCAGGAGGCAGTTACTGAGGTAAGAAAACTGTTTTGAAGTGCTTGTTATAAGTTATTCATAAATTTAGAGCAGGATGCTTCGACTCAACATAAAGCAAACTATTACAGACTTGTAATAAACAAAACTTTTAAGGGACAGAGTGATGAACTCACTGACCAACAGACTAACAGACCAATCAATTGACCGAAAGGCTGACTAATCAACTGCTTGGCTGACTAATCAACTGCCTGACTAAGTAAGTGACAGACTGAATGGCCATTTGATAACTACCTGTAGCAGACTGACAGGCTGGCTACACTGTAAGTGAAGGAATGTTAGACTGAATGATGCATTGGCCATGTGGACTTAAAGTGGTTGAATGACTTACTAACTGACCTATCAACTGACTGAAAGGTTACTGACAAACTGGGAAAATGGAGTAATTGAGTGATTGCCTGACTACACGTAAGTGACGGACTGACCCACTGGACTAACATACTGGCTCAATGATTGATTGCTGGACTGAATTATGCACTCATTGTGTGACAGCTGAATGGCCTAAATGACTGAATGAATTATTGTCTGACTGGATGACTGACTGACTTGCTGCTCCTATGAACTTTAAGGCTGGCTAAATGATTGACAGCTGGACTGAATGATGCACAGACTTTTTGTCTAAATTGTGAATTGAGTGGTTGACTGACTGACAGACTGATGGACAAACTGAGTGACTGACTGACTGGCCAATCAACATGCTAATAGACTGATCAAATTGCTAAGGGACTAACTGAGTGACTGACTAATTGAGTGATTGCTTGACTAAGTGAGAGACTGTTTGATTGATAAACAACTAATGCACTGACAGGCCTGCTGAGTGATTGACTGCTGGACTGAGAGATGCTCTAACTGTGTCTCACTGACTTCTGGACTGAGTGGTTTGCAAAATGTTTAAGGCAAGGTGCAGTCTGCACTCAAAGCAAATACCTCCTCCAAGCCAAGTTATCTTAGTTTTTGTAGCATGAAGCAACAAGTAGTATTGCTTCTTCCCTTGGATAGAATGCAAGTCTGTCGTAAGATTACTCCATAGCATTTCCTCAGGCTTCCTTAAGCTGACAGAATGGGTTAGTGACTAATTCTGGACCAGGTGAACTGACTGACAGAGTGACAGACTAAATGACTGATTGTGTGGTTGAATGTCTGATTAACCCTCTGAATGACTGAGTCAGACTGATCAATTCACTGATTTACTTACTTAGTGATGGATATCAATTAACCAACCAATGAACTGATTAAAATTAATGACTGGGTTACTTCTTATCTGGCTAACTCACTAACAGTCTGACATATGAATGGACAAACAGACTGAATAGCTAACTGAACAACTGACTGAAAAAAATGATTGATTGATGGCCCCACCATAATAATAATAATTTATTAACTTAGCATAGATATCAATGGTATGTGTGTACTGACTTTGTAGTTGACTGCCAAATAGTGGGCTGACAAGTGACTGACTGCCAATCTTAATTATGCACTGACTTTGTGACCGACTCATAGTCTTACTGGCTGACAGAATGAGTAAATGGCTAATGATGGATCATGTGCCTGAGTAGTGAACTGTCTCACTGAATGAATAACACATTAACTTGCTGACCTGCTGACTGACTAACTGATTGGTTAACTGATGAATAAACAAACTGACTGCATTTAAATTATTTGCATTATTAGTCATAGTGTAAATTGGATTTGGAGGTTCTGCCGCTGCACTGTGACCCTTTTGCCACTCATTTTCCTTCTTGGCACTGTGATGCTCAAGTAATAACAAATACTACATTCTCAGGGTTCACCATAGCCAGATCATAGCACCAGTGACTGACTGATCATCATTGATTAAACCATCTGTTCACGGTCTGAGGGTAAGTTTTTTAAAGGGACTGCTCCGTAAATTCCCTATACTTTACAAGAGGTTAATGAGTCATCAAATTTCAATATGTAGAGCATCCTTAAAGTTTTTGATGATATAAGGTCGCTCTCAACTGTATAAAAAGAATAGTAATAATAATAGTAATATTGATAGTAATAATAATAACTTCATTTGCCAATTAAAACAAAAAATATAGTTTTTGAAAATTGAATGTGTGCAATAAAAAAACTTTCTTGTGAATAACTAATAACAACAAATCTCATTTTTGAAATTGTACAGAACAATAGATAATTTTTTATCAAACTTATTAAGTTACAAAGTAATAAGAAAAAATTCAATGCTTTATCTAAAAAAAAATTTTCACTTATAATTAATTTCATGGATCAGAGATAAATCAAGGACATAAGAAAAAAAAACAAAGTAGTATTCCTGGCTTTGATAGTAATAAAAATGATAAAAATTTTTTTAACAATGATAGACCTTTATTCACTATAATCACTAAAAATATTTACAAAAATTATGATAAAATGCTTAAAACTCGAATAATGCATTAAAATGTCTACTTAAAAAAAATCAAAGAAAACCTAGTGGGTACACGCTCCTAAAATCTTGCTAGTTCGCTACCGATTCCACAGGCCCATACTAATCCTAAATGTTAGGAATTTTAAACGCTCTTACCCAAAAATCTCGCTAGTTCCTTATCAAATTCAAAGTCCTTATCTGTAATGTTCAACGGAGCTCTTCGCCTACATCGTGAGCCCCTCAAGCAAAGCAGCGCAGACCTCAGAAGGGCGAATGAGACTTTGTGGTGAATAGATAACATTGTAGTGCGGTAATCCTCCCCCTTCTTGGTTGATAAAGGTTCAGCTAGTCTACAGTGATACCTCTTGCATTCATCTGCCATTCCTTCGGTGGTAGTAAATACCAATGGTGTAAAGGAGCCTTGTTCGACTTCTGGCAGCCTGCTGGCGTACATTCTCTTCTCACTCTTATGCTGGCGGTGGATTTGTTTTGTGGTGAGCCCTCTATAAGACTCTGCACTCGGGTAACACACCCCTACATCAAAAAAAGCAGGGCCATGCCGCTCCCAGAAGCCACGAGCATGAATGTCGAGCCGGGCATCCCCTGCTCTGTTCGTACCAGGTGTCAGAACTTCTCCGTTTATCTCCTGAAGTACCGGTTCAATTTGGACATCACTGCACACGATCTTTAGCATTAAATTATTTTCGGCTTCTAAATCACGCAATTGATTGTGTCAGGAGCTCCTGATTGTGTCTTTGAATAATGAAGCCTCCACGTCTGCATACCATGGCGTGATCTACATAAAAAAAAAGTAGACGGAGTGTCGCTTATTTGCCGATCATATCTCAGATGAGATATGATATCAATAGTAATAAAAGTAATAATAATGATAATAATAATAATAATAATAGTGATAACATCAAAATTAATATTAATACTAAGGGATTTAGCAGTGGACATTCCATGAGGGTGGCTCTTCTTCATCAAAACTTTTCCCTCACAACCATCACGGAGCTTCCACCACCGTAACTTACATTTTAGTTTTAATGGCAAACATTCTTTTTAATTATTTCTTCTTAGGACACCATTGATTTTAACTTGGTCGGCCTGTGTTTCATTCAAAACGAGATGAAAGTTGGAGAAGAGAAGCTTTTTGCAGACGTCATAGAAAAAAAGATTCGGAAGAAACAGAACTATACTTTCGAGCAAGCTGTGAAATATCAGTGTCAAGTTACGTTTTTAATTATTAAAAAAGTACCTTTGAAAATTAATTGGAACATAGTCATTGCTAGGCACTTTGAAAAACTATCCTTAACAAAAATTGGTTCCCAAGAAATGAGGAACGAAAGAATGTTCCCCCAAAACGCCTCATCCCTCGCCCCCCTTCACAGTCGTATTTGATTGGATGTCCTGTGAACCAAAATCAAAGTAACCCCAACCTACCAATCACAAAAAAACCAAGATGTCGCGATTAACAAATGAAACTCCAAATGGAAACATGTGTAACTGCCTGAAGCGCGGGAAAACGCGAACGTTCGGGCTTTGGTCTAACTTTTCATTGGGTGATAGGGTGGCGCCAGGTTCCAGAAATATCTCAGTGCGAGATTATGGAAAACCAATGCAATCTGAGATTATTTTGGACACTCGATTAAAAGTTATCCAGATTCTCCCCCGTGATCTGATGGTACAAACTGTGTCCCACTCTGCCAGTCCTAAAGCCATTTGCAGCATTTTTCAAAGCCTCTGATTTGAAAAAGGGGTAAGAGGAAAACTTGGTGCCAGCAATTCTCGAATCAGTTGGAAAAATATCCAGCTTTTCTATTGTTTGCACTCTAGATCTGGGATTCAGACTCCATTTCCAAAATCCAAGTGATCAGCTCACTTTTCTTGTCTTGTAGGTTAACGTTAGGGCCGGAGGTTCTCTTCCAAATACAACCTTCCTTCAAAATTATTCAAACATTTCCTTGTATTTTCATAGATAGATATAAAGAATACAACATCAACTTGTCTAATGATAGCATTCCCAACGCAACAATAGCAGCTAACCATCACACCACATAGGGATGGCGCGATGAGCAAGCATTCGACCACAAAGTTTGACGAAGACTAGAAATATGGCAGCAGAAATTTTGCGGTCTCAGCAAGATTGATAGAGACTGAATCATAAGACAAACGATCCAACGTTTATTTTCGTGTATCATAACTACGACGAACGATCACATTTATGACAACAAGTCTCCTTTCAAAAAAAAAAAATAAAGAAATAAAAAGATTCGTTTTACACTCGTTTGATAGAGGTAACAAGGCAACTCGAGCAAGTTACATCAGTTCCTTGAATAATGATAATCAACGAATTTTTTTTTTATTTTTTAATTTATTTATTTTCTTTTTTCAGTTTTGTTTCGTCGGAATTCTACGAACGATTGTGACCGAAGAGCTAATCGGTGCTTTTCGGTCCGCCTTTTAAAGTCGGAAAACAAATTTGAATCACAAATCATTTTTATCAGTTAGTATTCATAGTTGCGATCAGTCTTGCACGTGGAAAGAGGGTAAGAAGTTTGAGAAATTTAAGCGTCTTCTGCAGCTTCTCTGAAACCACAAAACAAGTCACTTCCACAGATGAAACCTTAAATACAGTATGGTTCGTTCGGTCAAGTCCAGCGTATGTTTCTTCGTTGGAAGTTGCTAAGTAGGGCGGCTCAAATTCAACATCGAGCTCAAGGATTGATGTAAGTCATTTTGTCTCGAAATTTTCCTGAGGTACATAACCTAAGTGTAAATCCATAGTTAACAGAAGTACGGCGCCTCAACGTTGCCCTCGAAAATCAAATTGTAGTGTAGAATACAAATAGGAAAGGTATTCCCTACACGGTACACAATAACACTACTCCCAAACTGCATCCGCCATGACAGTTCTTCAGTCCTGCAGCGCGTGACATTCTACGCAACGGTGAGAAAATTTTTACTTCGAGGTTTTCTCGTGTAGTTATTTATCTCTCTTAATTGCTATTATAATACTAGTTTTTAATCTCCATTCAATCATTTATGCTCATAGATTGTCAAAATTAGATTCGCTGTAAACGCACTTATAGCTTCCCTGACACCCCAGGTGTGCACCCCAGAATATAAATAGTCTAAATAGGTACCAGTGATCTGTCAAAATACTTCAGGAAGCCCCTCCACTAGAAGAAGCGGGGCTCCTGGTATCTTCATGCCACAGATCATCGGAGTATGCCATGGGTGTTATGATTAGTCCTGTGTGCATCGATTTACTTTTATCTCGAGTTACTTTTTAGAGGATTTCAAATGTAACAGTACTTCACTGTATTAGAATGGTAGCTTTCACGATATCTTGATTGAGTTCTTTTGATCAAGACATCGATCTTTATTATTCATAGTAAACTAAAGTACATGTACTTAATTAAAGAAGGGTACACTCGTATTTGAAATTGATTTAAACTAGATCTTGTGTTTTGGTTCTCTCTTCAGCGCAACGTCAAGCGTGGAATGATCACAGGCAGCCCAAGCTCTCGTTCTGTGTTCCTTGTGTGGTTCTCAAAGAGAGCTTGGGCTACCTGTGGGAATGATGAACATCTCGGAAAAAGAAATTCGAGGGAGGAAATAAATTGGACAACATTTTCTATGGTAAGTATTAAGAAATTCATCTTTATTCCGATCCGAAGAAAGATTACAACAGCGACCGTGACTAACGAACAACGAAACTGCGAGGTTAATAGTTAGATGATACACTAGAAGAGCACGTGTAATTCCTTAGAGAGTGTCACAAGATCTTATCCAACGAATCACATTACATGATTATAATTTCTCCAACAGTAAGTAATTCAATTTTTCATAACGCATTCGAAGCTTGTACCGGCGTCTGATCTGCTTTGAACGCTTAACCCCTTCACTCCTAAGATCTCATTAGTAATTCTCCTTACTGTCTTCCATACAATTCTTATGATGTTAGTTTGGAGAATTTGGTTTTGGATCAACTGATTATCCCCTTGTTGATATTAATCTCTATCATCGCTTGCCGGCTTAATATTGTATCAATATTGTGCGGAGAAATTCTGTGTTGGTCACTCATGTTAGTTTAAGGCTTCAACCTGGATTAAAAGGACTGCAATTAAGATTCAACTGGGTTCTAAAACAAAAAAAAATCATCTAATCTCTTGCCCGACAGAGCTTTTGGTTTGATGAATATATTAATCACTTTGTTTCTGTTGATGGTAAAACGCTGGTGTCAAAGAAATACGTAATGGTTATTGTGTAAGCTGTAGGGACGGTTTAGCTGATCAAATATTCCCTTAATTTCGAGATCTTTCCAAAGAGCAAAGAGTATTGATCTTGAAAAGGAGTAAAAACAAAAAGGAACAAGTCTTGAAAAAATGGTATACCTTAGTCTATTACAGCCTGGACTTCATCTGATAAAAAAATTATCCGTGGAGTTTTTCTTTTCGAATTCGAAAAAGAAATACATTTTTAGTTATTACCAGTACTTTACCAGCATAGAATGAAAACATTAATCTAGAGGTCAAGAAGTAAAAGGGAAGGGAAAGAAGAGAGTAGCATCGCATCATCTGAGGTTTGTTTCCAGTTTGTGATGACCGACTAACTTATCTATAGCTTGCAAGGCTGGTTTCCGAAACTTGATTTTGTTTACGTTTCGACTACTTGAGTGGAATTCTGCGTATAGTTAGGCGTGAGGCTGTTTATCAATCGATTGTTAGGAGTCCACTGGGTTAAATTGTGAGACCATGAATTACATTGAAGATTAAATTTTGGAGATGACCGACCTCTATTAACAGATAGTAAACCGTGAACCTTACGTCACTGAAAGGTACGGCTCCGAACGAGACTCTCCCGTTATTAAATAATTTGGATATATCAAAAAAGTTGAAATGGTAAATTGGCCACCGTAACGATTACAAAAGCTGACGTTTCGAGCGTTAGCCCTTCGTCGGAGCGAAGGAATTCAAGGACCAGGATGTTCACCGCAAAGAACACTGCGGGAGTCATTTGTGGTGATGTGAATGTTACAAGAGGGTCTAACAATAGGTTTAACGG